CAAGATCGTTCTAAACAAGGTTTGTATCATGTATAAACAATGAAAACAAGATCGCGCTAAACAAGGTTTATATCATGTATAAACAATGAAAACAAGATCGCGCTAAACAAGGTTTATATCATGTATAAACAATGAAAACAAGATCATGCTAAACAAGGTTTGTATCATGTATAAACAATGAAAACAAGATCATGCTAAACGAGGTTTGTATCATGTATAAACAATGAAAACAAGATCATGCTAAACAAGGTTTGTATCATGTATAAACAATGAAAACAAGATTATGCTAAACAAGGTTTGTATCATGTATAAACAATGAAAACAAGATCGTGCTAAACAAGGTTTGTATCATGTATAAACAATGAAAACAAGATCGTGCTAAACAAGGTTTGTATTATGTATAAACGGAAACAAGATCGTGCTAAACAAGGTTTGTATCATGTATAAACAATGAAAACAAGATCATGCTAAACAAGGTTTATATCATGTATAAGAAATGAAGGGATGTAGCCATCTAATTATTTTCATTATCAGTCAATAGAGTACCATCATATTTATCTGTAACACTTTTCAAAATAAGAGCTAATGCTCGTTTGCAATGAGAGAACTGATGTTAGATCGGAAATGACGTCAGTGTAGGGCAAATAAAATATTATCCTATACCGATATTACTAATAGTTTGACGTCATTGATGATTTTACCATAGGGTGTTAATATTACTTGTATCTGACATATTTTCATTTTGAATGAAGAGACTGAACACAATCCACTATTTTATCTATATCTATGTGCATTAAAAACACTTAAAAGACACATCTTAAAACATTTCCTGTTGCGTAATAGAAATGTGGGATAATGATAATTTCCGAATCCTATTCAAGTTATTAGAAAAATAAAGGGGTATTGTCATGTAAAAATTAACAATATAAGCACCGTGGTTGCTGTCATTAGCAAGCGGAAAATGACCTCTTCTCCAGAACACCCGATGCCACTATCTGACAAGGTTTGTCAACTCAGATAGCCCATATTGTTGATTTGATATATCTGCTAGTTCCATTGGACTCTCTGAAGAGGATACAGAGTTGACAAACCGAATAACAGGATGGAAACAGGATGTTCAGGAAAGGCGGGCATGTCCTGCCTCGTGAGTTACACCCATCACAGTACACATCATTGCAGATGATTTCTATGGAATCAAAATTATTTGATCGTCATGTATTGTTATGTTAATGTATTCATACGTTACGTTTTACGTTACGTTTACATTACGTTATTACGTTTCTTTACATTATATTAATCATTAACGTTACATTAAGTATGTTACGCAACGGTACGGTACGGTACGTTACGTTACATCACGTTATATAAATCATTTATGTTACGTTACGTTCTATTATTATCATTTCAGGACCACTAGCCCTAGAACCGAGGGGTCCAACTGAAAATAACTACGATGATCTTGATAGGACAATGGACGATGGTCACACTTATGATACAGCTCAAGTTACAATTGTACCAGAGAGCTTCTACGCTAATGGTCATATAGTTCCATCATAGAGATTTGTTTGTATTTTGTATATTTTAGTAAATTTTGAATTGAATTATCGTTCTTTAATTTAAAGTTTTAAAATTGAGGTGTAAATTGCTTTGCTTATACGGATTTTTTATTATTGTTTTATTGCGATTTTCTGTTGTCTGAAGTAGACTTAGCTGGCCCTATCAGGACGAAGGGTGGGTTATATAAGCACCACATGGAGTGGTTGGCAACGAACAATAAACAAACGCTCGTTATGATACAGTACACATGAAAGATACCCCAACATTTGGGGATTGAAATCTTCGTATGCCAATCGGAATATGAAGCCATGCCTTTTTTAGAGGGTTGATATATGTGAAAATGTATAGCCGTCCGGATGAGAAAAAAAAACAAATGTTAACGTATACTAAATGATGCGAGATTTAAAGATAACTTGACAGTAGGGAGTTGAAACTGAATATGCTGATAATTGTCTCGTCAAAATTTCGTTATTACACAAGCGGGAAGGTTAATACTACTGGACCGACAAAATGTCATCAGTGCATCCACGGTCTTCATAAGTAGATAGGAAAATATTTCACGCAATTACTCTATGTATTCATGATACGAACTATAGTAATTATTCCATAGAACAGCCGACGTATAATGGTCAAAAATAGATTAGAGTAATATTATTATATTTGTAGAAATAATATTATGACACCATTCCTATGTTTGTAGATTAAGAC